CGTTTCTCTGTAACTCCTGTGATAGTGACCACTGTTCTACTTCTGATACCTAGTTCATGGCTATGTTCTGTGCCTCATCACCCAGGGTTCTACTCTTTGAAATCTGGAATGCTGGTATCCTACTTTCTGACTTGAGTCTCCAGTCCTTCCAGTTCTCAGCCTCATTACTGCTTCTGTTCTTCAGCCCTATCTCTGGTCTTTCACTATCCACTTGTGATATTTCAGATCACTTTTTTTTTTTTTAAATTTTACTTTAAGTTCTGGGATACATGTGCAGAATGTGCAGGTTTGTAACACAGGTATACGTGTGCCATGGTGGTTTGCTGCACCTATCAACCCATCATCTAGGTTTTAAGTCCCGCATGCATTTGTCCTAATGCTCTCCCTCCCCTTGCTCCACCCCCGAAAGACCCCGCTGTGTGATGTTCCCTTCCCTGTGTCCATGTTTTCTCATTGTTCAACTCCTACTTATGAGTGAGAACATGCGGTGTTTGGTTTTCTGTTCCTGTGTTAGTTTGCTGAGAATGATGGTTTCCAGCTTCATCCATGTGTCTGCAAAGGACATGAACTCATTCTTTTTTATGGCTGCTCAGATAGTTTTTAAATACACTTCAATGTATTCCTCTTTTTTGTAATTAAAAAAAGTTGAGATAAAATTAACCTAACATAAAATCCACTGTTTCAAAGTGTGTGATTCATGGTTTTTAGTATAGTCCCAGTGTTGTACAACCATCACCACTATCTAATTCCAAAATAATTTTCACCCTAGAAAGAAACCCTGTATCTATTAGCTTTCACTCCCAATTCTCCTCTCCCTCTATCTTCTGGCAACAGAATCTGCTTTCTGTCCCTGGCATGGTGCCTTTTCTGAACATTTCAAATAAATGGAATAATACAATATTTGGTCTTATGTGACTAGCTCCTTTCTCTTAGCATAACGTTTTTAAGATTCATCCGTGTTATAGCATATATCAGTTCTTTGTTGTTATAGCCGGATAATGCATCATTGCATGGATGTACCTCATTTTGTTTCTCCGTTCATCAGTTGATGGACATTTGAGTTGCTTCTCTTTTTTGGCTGTTGTGAATAATGCTGCTATGATCCCTTTCAGAGTACTCTTAATTTTATTACATCATTATTTCTCTTCAGAGACTTTCACGTCCCTTCCCTAACACCTACTCTGCAGAATTCTCACTATTTTAAGTCTAACCATCTATATTATTTGTCCCATACCTGGCCTACAAAACCCTACAGGGGAAGTTACACAACTGTTTGGTGAAACCAACTGATGGTGCTGCACATTCCTGGAATTCTTGATATAAAGCAGTTTCCCCCAAACCCAGTCAGGTTCCTTTCTTGTTACTGTTAGTGGCTCTTCAAGACCTCAAGATTTGCCACATTGTTCTTCATTCTTAGCAGATGACCTTGTCTCTTCTTCTGCTTGGTGGGAAATGCCTTTATTTCTTGCTCCTAATCTAGAAGTTTAACAGGATCTGTTCTTACCATTTTAGTTTTTCTGCTTCTTTGAATGATAAAAGTATCCCTTTTTCTATGCATTTGCAAGCCCCCTACCTCCTCAGGACTTCGCTTTAGCATCTCTCTCGTTTCCCTTCTCTGCCACCTCTACCTTAAATTGATAAAGTTTATTTATTTATTTTTTAAATAAGCTTGTGTCTTAGTAAAACGAAACAAAAGCAAGCAACAGTAAGAAAACCTCCCCCTCTGACAAGGAAGCACAAATCTCTATTGAATAATTACCATGTGCCAGTAACAGTTTGTGCTAAGAATCTTTTTTTTTTTTTTTTAAAGACAGAGATAGGGTCTCGCCATGTTGACCAGGCTGGTCTCAAATGCCTGGCCTCAAGAGATCCTCCCATCTTGGCCTCCCAAAGTGTTGGGCTTACAGGCATGAGCCACTGGCCTGTGCTAAGAATCTTTATGTGCATTATCTTACTCTTTTTTTTTTTAGTAACCATATATGGTTTGGTACCATTGTTACGTCTGATACAGAAGAAGAAATGGAAGTTTGTTGAGGTTAAGGTCACTCAGGCTCACTTAGATGTTTAACAGTAGGTTGAACCTAAGCAGACTTAGCTGAGAACCCTATGTTTTTTACCATATGTTTTACTATTAACCTGTCTCTCTTTGTTTTTATGGAAACTTTTAATTATTTTTTAATTTAATTTGTTGCATAATACGACCTGTGTAGTACACAATTTGAAGGTAAAAAAGTGTGTACCCAGTGAAAATCAGTCATTTTTGAATCTCTTTCCTAGAGGAATGCACTGAACTAGTTTCTCTTGCGCCCTTGCACAATTCTCTTTTTTTTTTGAGACAGCCTTGCTCTGTCACCCAGACTGGAGTACAGTGGCATGATCTCAGCTCACTCCACTTCCCGGGTTCAGGCAATTCTCCTGCCTCTGCCTCCCGCCCAGCTGGGACTACAGGTGCGCACCACCATGTCTGGCTAATTTTTGTATTTTTAGTAGAGATGGGGTTTTGCCATGTTGGCCAGGCTGGTCTTGAACTCTTGACCTTGAGTGATCTGCCCACCTCGGCCTCCCAGAGTTCTGGGATTACAGGTGTGAACCACTGTGCCTGGCCTTTTCACAAAATTTTCTACGCATATAAAAGTATTTGTACTCTTCAGTACAAATGACTCCCCATTTCAACAAAAATTTTAGCACTGTTCTACATTTTGATTTTTCTCTTAATATATCATGGATGTTATTTGTTATTATAGAGCTGTCTCATTTTTAAAAAATGGTTGAATTGTATTACCTTGAATGGATATATCGTAATTTATTTAGCTGTCCACTGACAGACACGTAGCTTGCTACCAGTATTTTACTGTGACTGCAGTGAATAACTTCACATGTGTCATATGGCTATCTGTAAAATATTGTTGTATAATACATTTTAAAAAGTGAAATTGGGAAGTTAGATGGTATGTGGGTTTTAAATTTTGATAGCTCTTGCTAAACTGCCTTCTGTAGATACTGTACCAATTTACACTCCTACCAGCAAGGGTGCGTGAGAGTGACTATTTCTCCATACTTACCCTCTTTAAAACAGCATGTTATCAAACTTTTTGATCTTTGCCGTTAGTAAAAAAAAAAAAAAAGTAATTTCTGTTTCCTTTATTGGAGCGAGAATGAATATCTTTTCATGCGTTTAAGACACATGTATTTCTTTTTTGGGGGGGATAATTATCTCTGCATGTGTGTTACCCATTTTTTCTAGTGAATAGTTGGATTTTCAAAATAATTTATATACCCTTTCTTATGGTAGGGAAATTTGTCCTTTGTGATTTATCTTAATATTGTTTTCCTATGTTGTTTCTTTTGACTGTGTCTGTTTTTTCCTTATAGGAATGTCTTATATAATTGGATCGATCAGTTTTTTTTTTTTTTGCATAGTATTTGAGCTTTGCATCCTTCTCAGACTTCCCATTTTGAGATTATTGAAAAAAAAGAAAAAGCTTCTGTTTTCTCTTTGATTTCTGATTTTGTTTTTATGTTTAAATCTTTATCTGTAATTAACTTGGGGGTCTGTAATACAATTTAATTTCTTTTTTTATCGCCTTCAGTTGACTATCCAGTGTCCCTAATATCATTTATCAGATAACTTTTCCCCCACTGGCTGGAATATTACTTTAATCAAATATGGCATATTTCTGTCTGTTTTTTTGACTGTGTATTCTCTTACATTATCAGTTTGTCTATTTGCATTTACTACCAGACTTTTATTTACTTTCCTTTTATATTTTAATATCATATAGTACTAATGTTCCTACCTTATTACTCTTCTTCAAATATTTTTTTTTGCTCTTCTTGCATAGCGGTTACTCCATATGAACTTTAGAATCAGTTTTTTCTGGCAAGACTTTTTTTTATATTGTAAATAGCAAACGATTTAAAAGACATCTGTGCCAGCATTTCTCACAGTGGGTTTTGTGGAACGTTGGTCATATAATAATGCTTCTTCTCACATGAATTGTTTTTGGGAAATGCTACATATTATATACCTCCCTTCTTGGATGCACACTGATAAATCAAAAGCCCGTAAGAGTATAGCAATATCTTCTGTTGCCTTTTCTAGGAATCTTGCCCTGGTCCCCACAGCCCTGGTTAGATGGTCTTCCTTGTTTCTTTCATGCATAGTTTTGTCATAGTAGTTGTGTTTGTGCTCTATAGAATTTATCTACTTGTTAGAATTATAGAATTAGAGTTTTTGAGAGCAGAGATTATGCTTTCAATTTCTGTTCCCCTAGGTCTTCGGGCAGCAGTTTTGATTTATACTCCTGAGATCCTTCAGGGGTTTTCTAAAGTTTTTCTTGGCTCTTTTTCCTCTTCTTGGTGACCCCCCTTTCCATCCCCTCAGTACTTTTCTCTCCTTTCTCTACAACAGTTTCACTTTCATCTGTTTTTTAATATTTGACATTTACCCAAGATTTTGGTAAAAAAAATGTTCTGTGCCTGAAAGAAAGGAGAGAAAGAAGGAAGGAAGGAATGGAAGAACAGGGAGATGGAGGGATAAAGGGAATGAAAAGGAGGGGAGAGAGAAAGAGAAAGATGAAAGAAAGAGAAGAGCCCAGTACGAAGGCGTAGACGATGCCTGGAACAATGGGTATTAGAGAAATTTTTTTTTTGAGTACATGGTTGATCAATCACTTTAGACATCTGCTTTGATAGACTAACGTTGAAATGATCAGTAAGCTATCATACTAGTTTACTTACCTTTCCTCCAACGTACTTTTGTTATCGTTATCACACAACCTCTGGATCCTAAAAGGTCAGCTTCTTTGGTACAACTCTGCTATGGATTTACTTTATAAGCCAAAGGAAAAAAGAATACTTTTCAATTAGTCTGTTTTGAGTTTATTGATGAAACAAATTGAACTTAACTAGGTCACCTCTTATAGTTACTGCCAGCACTTGTTCAGCTAAGTAATTTGTAAAATTATCTTCAACCTGATGAATATTTTTTTCTTTTTCAGCTTGTGAAGCTTTGTATTGCAATGATTGACACTGGAAAAGCCTTTTGTGTTGCAAATAAACAGTTCATGAATGGGATTCGAGACCTGGCTCAGTATTCTAGTAACGATGCTGTAGTTGAGGTTAGTATTACTGAAATTACAGTTAAAAATGAAAAAAAAAAAAAGCAATAAGACATTAAAGAATTGTGCATTCATCTACCTTATTTAGTTATGGTGATACTTAGAAGTAGAAAAGTGATCACCCCTTGGTGCTGTCTTGTATAATTCTGTTTTCTACAATAGAAGTTGATGGTTTATTTGCATTGCGCATTATCTAGCATGGCTCTTCTCACCTAGTTTCTTATTATTTTGTTTAGTTTACTAAGTTTACTTGCTGCTAGGTGAGCTGAAGCACCTGTCAGAGGGCCTGAGCAGGAAGATCAAGATCATGCCTCCTAGTAGCTGCTTATAGCGGCACGCAGAGGGCATTAACCTGAGTGTAGTGTCTAACTCTATGTATGGGGGTTGTATAGGTACTGGTTAGCCAGCTTATGCCGGCTTACCTTAGATCCCTTGGTATACTTACTGTGTGGTGTTATATTTCTTTCATGAGAAATAATAACTGGTGAAGAAATGATTGTAGTTTGATGATTATTTGATCCTAGATGCCTACATGGGTCATCTTGATACACTCAAAACAGTTTTACCTTAGGTTTATATTTGCCATTTCTGTTGGTAGCATAATACTATTGAAGGGGCAGTACTAATTCTTTCACATTTTTAGGGTTTTATTTGTTACCACATGTAGACTTGATCTCTGCAGAGTGTACCTGTGAGGTAGTGAGATTGTCCCTGGAAATAAATGTTACTGTTTACAGTGTAACTTGATCTGTCAGAAATGCTGAGGTCACATTTTTGTGACCTATTTAAATGGCTCTTAAATGATTTGGTTTTCTTTTGATTTCTTTCTCATAGACAAGTTTGACCAAGTTTTCCGACAGTCTTCAAGAAATGATAAATTTTCACACAGTAAGTGTCAGTAAGTAGGTGTTAACTATGACCGTATTAACATTTTAGTATTTTTCTTGAGTCGCAATATTTTATGAAATGACTAAAAGTGAATTACATGGCTTTGATTCGTCATCACCTTTTTAGTTGGGTGAATCTAAAACGTACACTGTGTGTGTATTTGTGTGTGAGTGTGTGTGCGTGTGAAAGAAGAGAATAAGAGTATTATTTTCCATTCTAATATGGTGAACTTAATATCATTGAAGGACATACCCCCAAAAGTTAATTTTTTTTCTGTTTAAGTGTGGTTTTAAAAATTTTTAAGCATGTATTTAAGAATAAAGAAGCAAAAGTCATTTTAAGTGTAGCTATTTCTTTTTAGATACTTACCAATATATCCCCTTTATCTAAACAATGACCAATATTAAAGAGTGCTATATTCTTTGAGCTATTTATATGTGCATTTAAGATTTGTGGACATTTATCCTTCAAGAATGAGGGATATATATTACTTTGGGAATGTACAAAATTCCTTTACAAAGTTTATGAAAGTTTACTGCAAAAATCACAGCTTATAAGCTGTATGTTTCTTACATTTTTAAAAAAGCTTAATTGATATGGCTGTTGTATAATTATTTAATCAGTGCTTTAAAATTTATTAGCCGCTGTCTGTACTAAGAATATCAATACTTATAATCTTCATAAAATCTGCTTGTTTTTGGTTCTTAATTTGATTTTCTTAATTTTTTTTGTTGGTTAGCATATTTAGGATGAAGTAATATGACAACGTTTATTTTAATTGCAGTTCAAATTTTAGCTATACCAATATTGACATGTACAAGTATCTGCTTGAGTGACTGTTTTCAGTTCTTTTGGGCATGTACCTAGGTGTAGAATTACTGGGTCATGTGGTAATTCTATGTTTAACTTTTTGAGAAACTGCCAAACTGTTTTCTACAGAGACGGTACCATTTTACATTTCCACCAGTAGTGTTTGAGTGTTCCAAGTTCTCTGCATTGTTATCATCACTTGTTATTTTCAATTTTTAAAAAAAAAAATTATAACCATCCTAGTAGGTGTGAAGTGGTATCTCATTGTAGTTTTGATTTGCATTTCTCTAATGACTCATGCAGTTGAGTATCTTTTATGTGCTTAATGGTTTCTTGTGTATCTTCTATCATTGTTAGCATTGTTGTTTATTGAAGTCCTTTATTTATTTAGAGATAGGGTCTCACTCCGTCACCCAGACTGGAGTACAGTGGCACAGTCATACCTCACTACAGCCTGGAACTCCTAGGCTTAAGTGATCCTCCTGCTGTACCCTCCCAGTTAGCTAGGACTACAGGCGTGTGCCACCATGCCAGGCTAATTTTTTTTTTTTTTTTTTTGGTAGAGATGAGGTCTTGTTCTTTTGCCCAGGCTAGTCCTCAACTCCTGGGCTCAACTCATCCTCCCGCCTCAGCCTCCAAAGCACTGGAATTACAGGTGTGAGCCACTGCACTCAGTCCCTTTGTCAGTTATTTAATTGGGCTTTTTTGTTATTGTTGTTGTTGACTTATACTTGTTTTACATAGTTTGGATATTAAACCCTTACCAGTATATGTTATACTAATATTTTCTCTCATTTTGTAGGTTTTCTTTTTTACTTTCATGAAAATATCCTTTGACACACAAAAGTTTTTAGTTTTGATGAAGTCTGAAGTTCAGTTTCTCTACTTTGTCTTTTGTTGTTTGTGTTTTTGGTGTTATGTGTGAGGGAATTCATTGCCAAATTCAAGGTCATAAAAATTTACCCTTACGTTTTCTTCTAAGAGTTTTATGGTTTTAGCTCTAGTATTTGACACCATTTGACCTCATAATAGTTTTCTTTTTGCCTTCTGTTGAATTTAGATGGCAGTGTTTGGTATATTTGATTTCTCTTTAAACCAAATGTAATTTAGTAAGAAAGTTTTTTTTTTCCTGTTGATATAAGTGATTGACTTTAAATTGACATAATAGACTAAATGTTTTCTTTATAATTTATTATCCTTTGAAATATTCCTCTCCTTAAAGCAGTAAATCTTATGCTGTTTCTTTATATAATAATACCTTGCTCTTTGTTACGGTTTTATATGTGAAAAGTTATGATTAAGATAAACTTTTGGCAAATAATTTTTTTTTTTTTTTGAGACAGAGTCTGGCTGTGTCTCCCAGGCGATCTCGGCTCGATGCAGCCTCCGCCTCCCGAGTTCAGGTGATTCTCGTGCTTCAGCCTCCCAAGTTGCTGGGGCTATAGGCATGCACCACCGTGCCTGGCTAATTTTTGTACTTTTAGTAGAGACGGGGTTTTGGCATGTTGGCCAGGCTAGTCTCAAACTCCTGGCCTAAAGTGATCCACCCGCCTTGGCCTTCCAAAGTGTTGGGATTACAGGCGTGAGCCACTGCACCTGGCCTTGAAGCAAGGTATATATGTATTGTTTCCTTTGGAGGAATAGAGATTGGTCTTTGTTTTGTTTTGTTTTGTTTTGAGACGGAGTCTCGCTCTGTTGACAGGCTGGAGTGCAGGGGCGCAATCTCGGCTCACCACAACCTCTGCCTCCTGGGTTCAAGGGATTCTTCTGCCTCAGCCTCTGGAGTAGCTGGGACTACAGGCGCCTGCCACCATGCCCAGCTAATTTTTTGTATTTTTAGTAGAGTTGGGGTTTCAACATGTTGGCCAGGATGGTCTCGATCTCTTGACCTTGTGATCCGCCTGCCTTGGCCTCCCAAAGTGCTGGGATTACAGGCGAGATTGGTCTTTTTAATACCAGTGCTCTTAATCTTAGTGTGCACCTACACTCCTGAAACCTGTGCAGATTCCACTTTTCTCACTTTTCTTTCTCTCTTCTTCCTTCCTCCCTTCCTCCGCCTCCCTTCCTCCCTTCCTTCCTCCCTCTTTTTTTTTTTTTTTTTTTTGCTATTCCTTATACTTGAGAAACCTCATACTCTCTGTTGACTATAAAACTCGTTGCTTTAAAAAGATAATTTGTATACTAAGAAAAAATCACTCTTGTCCGTCTGCCTGGAGGTCTGAAGGCTGCATGTTGGTCAGCTTGTTTGTGTTTACATACATGTTTCTATACAAGAAGAACTTTTTGTCTGACACTGTACCCAGAAGTCCACTGGGTATTTTATTCTTTTATTCTTTTTGACAGCATCTCAGAAATTTTCCTTTTAATAGATGTAAAAATGAAATTGTGAGTCCTTGGTTTACTTTCTTTTAATTTTCTTCTTTTTATAGTTAATATACCATCTATTCTATCTGGCCTTTTTGTTGTTTTGTAACCAATACTTTAAATTTCTTTCAGTAGGAATGACTTGTGTCACTTGAACTAGAATTCCTATATTTGTGGCAAAAGTTCTTCCCTCATCATAGCCCGGTTATACTTCACTTTAATTAGACTATGGCTAGGGATAACACTTACCTTGTTTACTGTTACACTCCCGGTAGTTACATAATTCTCATTTTAGGGAAGTCATTTAATTTTTCTGAGATTCACATTCCTCCTCTGTAGGCTGGGCGTGGGGGCTCATACCTGTAATCCCAGCACTTTGGGAGGCTGAGGTGGTTTGATTGCTCGAGCCCCATTAGAGACCAGTCTGGGCAACATGGCGAAACTTGGTGTCTACAAGAAATAGAAAAATTAGCTGGGTGTGGTGGCTCACGTCTGTAGTCCCAGCTACTCAGGAGGCTGAGGTGTGAGGATCACTTGAGCCTGGGAAGTTGGGGTCACAGTGAGCTATGATCGCACCACTGTACTGCAGCCTGAGACACAGTGAGACCATGTCTCCAAAAAAAAAAAAAAAAAAAAAAAAGATTTACATTCTTCTTCTATAAAATGAAGGGGATTTACTAGATGACTTTTCATTATTAAAAATTTATTATAAGATTTAAATTTGTTCTCAGAGCCATTTGTTAGAATGCAGGAAAAGCCTAGTTATATAAAATGCTTTTTTTTTTTTTTTTTTTAAGCGTTCTCTGGAATTCTAATTGCATAGCATCCCAGTATAAAGGATGATTAAGGAAAACTGCTTTCTGAAACATAATAAATAGTGTAACCTGCATTAGATTCTCTAGCAGAGCTCATAACAATTGGGCTTTGATATATCAGTTTGTGTAAGGATAAAAGTCTGGATATTTCAGAGGTGTCATTTACGAACTTTGTGGGCTTAAATAAACGTTTGAAAATAATAAAACCATTTGTGTTATTAGCCAAATAAAGATTAAACATATGTTGGAGTCAGATTGTCCGGTTATTTAATACAATAAATCATTTAGATTATCATGTAATTTATTTATTTATCTGTAAAAATGGATAGAACTCTTCTTATTCCTTTTAGAATGAGAATATCCTAGGTTTCTCTTTAACTCATATGTTTTTGTTGTTGTTGTTGTTTTTTGAAATGGAGTCTCGCTCTCTCTCCCAGGCTGGAGTGCAGTGGCACGATCTTGGCTCACTGCAACCTCCATCTTCCAGGTTCAGGTGATTCTCTTTCCTCAGGAGTATTATGTTTAAAATTCTTTTGTTTTATCGCAATATATATATGTTTCTTTTTTGAGACGGAGTCTTGCTCTGTTGCCCAGAGTGGAGTACATGATCTTGGCTCACTGCAACCTCCGCCTCCCAGGTTCAAGCGATTCTTACACATCAGCCTCCCAAGTAGCTGGGATTACAGGTGCCCACCACCACACCCGGCTAGCATTTATATTTTCAGTAGAGATGGGGTTTCACCATTTTGGCCAGGCTGGTCTCGAACTTGTGACCTCAAGTGATCGGCCCACCTTGGCCTCCCGAAGTGCTAGGATTACAGGTGTGAGCCACTGCGCTTGGCCTTAACGCATATGTTTTTATAAGACGTGAACACACATGACTTTTTCAGAGCAGGTCATGTATGCTACTTTTTACTAGATATTAGAATTTGTTTGAAGAGTGGCTTATTTTCCTAGAATTTAGGAGATTTTGGTGATTCCATTGATGACATTTTTGGATTCTAACTTGCT